CGGCGGCTCGTCCGCTTCCCGCGCGGACTTCTCCCCGGCCCTCCCCGGTAAGTGACCGCGGCCACCCGGGTCCTCCGTCCGCCGCCGACCCCCGACCGACGCCCCCGGGGAGGCCGCCCGGCGGGGCTCGGCGCCCTGCCGCGACGGCGGGAGCTGCGGGGCCGGACGGGCCGGAGCCAGCGGCGGCCAGCGAGCCCCGGGGGCTGGTGCCGGCGCTCGCGGCAGCAGGAGCCCGGCGAGCCCTGCGTCTGAACCCCCGGGGGGAAGGGGGTTAGCTCGGGTCCTGTTAGCACTGGGAAAGCTGTATTTGGGCTTTGCCGGGCAAGGTCGTGGTGGTGCTTGCGGGCTCTTCCCAGGAGCCGGCAGCGACGGCGGGATGGGAGCGGATGGGGGGGTATCGCGGTCCGTTCGTGCGGGATGTGGCTCCAGCCCCCGCGGGTCCCGGCTGGATGGTTTCATGGCACTGCGGCCGCTTGGCCGTGCCCTCCTTCTCCTGCCGAACGCTGCTCTCGCCATCGCCGAAACTAAGTGCCAGGCGATGCCGGACTGGGAGCGTTCCTCGGAGCTGATGACCATCTGTTATCGCCGTGGAGAGGAGACGGGCAGCTGGCTAGTGGGGAGCAGAAAATGAGATCAAGGAATCGTCAATTAAAAGAAAGCATGCCCCGATAATTACGCTTTTGCATAAACAAAATGCTTTCTCTTTTATTCCTTTTTTTTTTCTTTTTTTCTTTTTTTTGATAAACAGTTCAGCGATAGGAAAGAGAAATCTACTCTTTGTTTTGAGCGTGCAGCACCTCGGAGAGTAATTTAACAATGTCCTTGCTGACAACACCCATTTTTTTTCTGGGGAAAATACAAACAGAGTAAATGGGACACAATATTACTACATACGTGGTAAATCTGGAATTTGAACAGAAAAGAGATGAGATTTAAAGGCTGAACAGGGGAAGAGGAGCAAGGTTTTAAGGTTTATTTTTTTTTTAGGTGCTTACTTAATCGCCTTTCAGTGCAATTAATTGAACTTTGTGAGTCGTATTCAGTGCTGTCATCTTTTGCCTCTCAAAACAAAAATAATAGGACACTCAGAAAGAGAAAGGAGGGAGGGGATCCTGCTCCTCGGTAGCATGAAGAAATAGGTTCCAAAAAGAATTGCAACGGTGCAGGAATTGCTCCTACATGCTGTCGTTTATAGCTCAGATCACTGGAACAGAGAGATGACTTCTGATGTTCCAGTAAGACAAAAACCGCAAATGCTCAGTTTTTAGTCCCCCACAAGTTTCCCTTCAAGCCCTCCTTATGGTTTTCCTGGGTGACTTGCAAGGGTTCACTCCTCCTTTTAATAGTATTTGACCTGGCATCTCTTACCTGCCAGCCACCATCTCTCCTTTCTGAGGGCGGGAGGGGGTGAGAAATGAATTCATCGGCGTTACATAACAGTTACCTGGAGCATTGCACATGTTCCCAAACTAAGGATGCCTCTGGACCACAGGCAGGAGATAAATTTCTGTAATATTACAGATCAAGTGCAAATGGCTAGGAAAAAACTTTCACAGGGCACCACTTTCCGGTGAACACGTTTTCCTTTTGCATTTTACAGTAATTCCTTTCCCACTCATTTAAGCAAGACAAGTAATATGTTTAACCCTCCCTCCAGTTATGTGTAAGTAGCGTAATGAAACAAATGGTATCTATAGATCAAGTATACTGCCTTCCTGCTTTTATTTCCGCCATCCCACTCAAACCTGCATGACATCACTAACTACAGTCAGTGTGCAGTGTAACCCCAGAGCATATTAGGGAGTGGGGCTTGACATCCTTTGAGCTCTGGTGCTTTGCAAACTCCCTCTGAGACCAGAGAGATAATTTTTTTTTTGTTTGTTTACGCTAGCTGATACCACCATCTCTATCATTTACCTGGAGTCTAAAGAAATTAATTATCTGTTTGGCAAGAGCAGAGTGGGGCATGTGGCTGCTTTCTCACTCACAGGAGCTGTGTGGGCAAGGGAGATCTGCCTGTTGATGTCAACTCCTGTCCCACTTTTTCAGGGTTTTAATTAGCAGGATTTTGAAGGAGAAAGAGTAAATAGAGGCATCTCTTGTGCTGTGGGTCTGTCCTTGGTCCTCATCCTCTTCTCTTCTCCCTTTCATTGCAGGAGCTGGAGTGGCCGTAGGGGGCAGTGCGCTGGTAGCTAGCCATGATCGCCACTGGAGGCCTCCTGAGGATCTCGGCTAGGAAACAGGACCCCTTACGACCCCAAAGCCAAGTCCCCAAACGCAAACGCAAGGCTAAAAAGAAGCGCAAGAACGACGTGGTTGTGGTGAAAGGCAAGCTCAAACTGTGCTCCCTCTCAGGGCTCATTGCCCTCTGTGGCATCCTGGTACTGCTGGTGGGCATCGCCTTGGCTGTGGTGGGCTACTGGCCAAAGCCCAGCCAGGTGTACAGAGAAGGCAGTGTCAGTGCGGGCAGGCACCTAGCACCGCAAGGTGTCACTCCCAAGAACCACTCCCAGAGCCAGGAAGGGGCGCAAGCAGGGATCCATCCAGAGTCACCCCCCAGAGCCAATACCTCCACCACTACTACCACCAGTGGGTCTTTGCACTCCCCTCCGACTTCCTCGTCCCCACAGGCCTCAGTGGGTTTCCTTTTCCGTCTTTTCTCAAGCTACTTGCATTCAGACAAGCTGAAGGTGCTGGGCCCTCTCATCATGGGCATTGGCATCTTCCTCTTCATCTGCGCCAATGCGGTGTTGCACGAAAACCGTGACAAGAAGACCAAGATCATCAACCTACGTGACCTTTACTCCACTGTCATCGATGCCCACAGCCTGCGGGCCAAGGACGGAGGCACCCCGCCCTCGGCCCCTCTCAACGGCTTTGTCAACTATGTGCAGTCCCGGGGCCTGGAGCTAAAGCCTGGTGGTGAAGGCCTGGGTGCTGCAGCCATGCTTGCCAAGAGTTCCTGGCCACCGGGACTGGGTGTCTCCCTTTCCCCGCCAGATCTGGCGTCCTCACCACGACGTTCCTCCTTCTGCCCCCCACCACAGCCACCCAGCCTGGCTGAGGCCGTGTACAGCATCTGCCGGGAGCATGCTGCCCTTGCTGGCCACACTGTCACCAGCCCTCCCTGCAGCCCACCAGAGAGCTGCGACCAGTGCAGCACAGCCAGCTCCATCATTGGCTCCTCACTGAGCGCTTTTGCCCTCCTGCCCTTGGGGTCGGGCAGCAGAGTGGGAGACTGGCGGAGACCACCTGGTGAGCGGGGAGCCCAGGAGATCCCTCGGGGAGAGTTTGAACTGAGCCTAACCAACCTCAGCAGCAGCCACATCGAGGGAGGCTGTGGGACAAAGAGGCACAAACTGGTTCTCAGGCGGCAGAGCATCAGCTGCTTGCCTGATGCCAGGCGTCCCCTTTTCCCTGAGCCACCTCGGTCACCAGCTGACAGTGGGGTCCTGGACTCTAGCCTCTTGGTAAAGGCATCTTCTAGCTACTCCAGATCTCTGGATCTGGGGGGATCACCCCCCTCAGCCCCTTCTGCCATCACCAGGACGGACTCTCAGAGCTCCCAGTCTGAGCCTTCCAGCAGCAATAAGGGCTACAGCCACCTGGAGGAGGCAGGCACCTCCTTGGAGTCAGTTGCCAACACCACAGCCAGTAAAATTCAGGATTATGAGGAGGAACCGTTTGAGAAGACGGACCCCCTCAAGGCTACCAGCAGAGAGCAAACAGGAGAGCAATCTCAGCAAACTCAAAGACAGTACACAAATAAGGAGAAACTCTTTATGATTTCTAGGTCACATGCTGCATTAGGGCTGGAGGATGGGGAGCTGGAGAGTACTGGCATCTAAATAAAACAGAGAAGGCACGAGGACACCTTGCATTCCTCCACACCTTTCCCCCTTCTTCATCTCCTTGTGGACTTAGGAAACCAATCAATATCCAAAGAGCTGCACTATGTTACCCTTGAAAATTGAATTCCATAAATCCTGTAGATGACTTCAGGAAGAAAAAAGAAAATCCTTTCTGTGTAATCGTGATTGTATGTTTCATGCAAGCCAAATTGTATTAAATATCCACAGTCCAGGAAGTTCTTTGGATCAAATTAATACAATTTCAGGCGGTATAGCTGTGCACTTTACTGTTTTGATTTCCAAGTGCCCCTTCTTCTCCTCTGATTTCTTTCTTGCTGATTTGCCACTAGCTGCTTGAACACTGCAGGCACCTTTTTAAGCTCAAAAGCAACGTGGTCTTCAAAAAGCAAACTGAGCTCTCTCTTTGTTTTGGTTCAATCACTAAAAAGTTTGCAAGGCCTTAAGGATGATGTACCTTGACAAAGAATGAGTTTGTTTAAGTTCTGGAAGAAAATAACAGTTTAGAAGAGACTGGAGCAGAACAGAGCTCTAGTGATTTAGTTAAAACCATTACATTCCTGAATCAAAAATGCATACTACTACATGATACTTTATTAAAGTATTATTACACATGTATTGACTAATAGCATTAAAAAATTTTTTTTTAATAAAACATTTACAAACAAAACTTCCATAAAAAATAAGTCCTTTATTTTGGTAAGTAATTACAGGTATCAGAAACTGTTTAGTTTTATACTGTGAAAGATTATAGAGATGCTATGAGGCCAAAGGTTTGCTTATACTTTTAAGTAGGTAATTAATAATGTAGATGTTATTTCAAAATAAATACTGGTTCAGTCTCTGAGAAACCACACTGTAATTCAGTCAGCAGATTCCGTCTTCATTTCTGACAGTGCTCTGTGACAGACAGCTGAAGAAATGTGAGATTTTGACAGGCTAAGGAAAAAAAAATTTTTTAAAGGTTTGATCTTCTGTTCAGATTAGGTTTTTTGTGAGTAACAGATTAATCTTGAACTACACCATCTTCTTTCTCAATTTTTCACTTCCCTTATAACTGTTGCATCAAGTGTTTCTGCCGTTACAATTACTATTCGTGAGTGCATGTGCATAAGAATAATTTTGAAGCATAATGATAGCCCTGTCGGTCTCTTAGCAGTTGACCGTACTGAAGTCAACAGAGGTTTTTCACTGAGTTTAGCATGGTGAGAATTTCTTCCTGCATGAGAAAAGCATCAGGTTTCCTGAAGAATGCCTTGTCTGTAGGCAGATTTTTGGTAAATTGATGAGCTGTTTCATTTTCATAGCTGCAGCACAGCAGGCACTCGTATTTTGCCAAAACAGCTTTATGTGCTCAGAAGATTTTGTCAATACTTCAGATTTTAAATATGAATGTGGCATTTCTCCACTATGGGAAGAGAAATCCACACTGAACAAACACAATGTGTAAACAGATAGAAGTCTTTCTGTTGCAATTAAATTTTTTCTTGTGGTTTCATGTTTTAAAATACTTGGTTGTGTATTTACTTACATTACAGTACATTGTGACAGATAATATAACTATCACTAAACACAATTGCTTTTTAGTAATCCTGCAGAATTCTGTAATAAATAGGGCTAATTTCAAAGACAAGAAGGAAAAAAAAGAAAAATAATAACTTGTCATGTCAGAGTCTTGAAACTGGAGAAGCAGAAAGTGCTTGTGCTTGTTCTCTTGAGCAAGAGAGACATCCAGGTGGCAATATCTTTCCTCCTATCAGTGGCAACCAGTGCACTGACAATATGAACATCACTGTGGCATTTTTTGCTATCAGTCTGCTGGCAGACAGCTGGCAAAAATCTGTTGTAAAACTGCCTGGGTTGGCATGGGCTGGATTAGGCACTACAGGAAGTGGGTGTCTCAAATGGCGCTGGCATTTGCATGGGGCTTTCCTTTCAGTTCTCCATGGGCATGTGTTTCTGCTCCTTCTCCTCTGACTTCCAGAAAGATGTATGAGATGTATCTGAGCAGCGTTTTCTGGTGCTGATGGAGATGCTAGTTATTGACAGAACTGCAGACATCCTGTTTGCTATTTTCCACACTAAAACTGTCCATGGAGGTACAAGGGAAGAGGTGAGCTGTGTGTTACTCACTGGGGCATGGAGTCCTTGGGAAGATGTGACAGGGATTTGTTTTATTCTGAGAGGGGTTAAAATATACTTTTTAAAATATTCTTTGTAAATATTTCTTCAGTCATCTGAATTTTCAGTGTGCTCTGAAAAAAAAAAAGGCAACTTTAAAAAACCTTTGGTTACTCCTTAGATTGATTTGAAACAAAGCAGGCCAGTAATTATTCTGGTGATTAATTTACTGCAAAGCTTTCTGAATGGCAAAATTGTAACAGAGTTCAGCTTTAATAAGTAAAATTATAGCTTGTTCCTGTGTTACCAGAAAAGACATGAAACATGAACTTTCATGAATTGAGATGTATTTTTTAATAACAGCAGCTTGAAGTGATTTATAACATATAGATTAATAAGCAGAGAAAGCTACCTCTCTGTCTTCGTAAGTAATTATTTTTGCAAATTTATTAATTAAAACTATTTGTTGAGCAGTTTGTGCAGAGATGTAGTTGTAGTCAGAAACTTATGTTTAAAATTCAAGGCAGGCAAGTTAGTCTTAGTCAGAAACTTATGTTTAAAATTCAAGGCAGGCAAGTTAGTCTAACACCCCAGTGTTGGAAAACGACTGAGAGATTCAACCGCTGTGCACCAATCATGACTGCTGTTAGTACCATTAGCCTTGGAGAGAAACATAGCAACCAGTAAGGAGCTGAGCCTTTCCTGGTGATGCCCACAGGTGATGTGGGTGCTGGGGTTTGTGCTCTGACTGATTATTGAGTCTCTGAGCTGGCCCTGACTGCTTCTCCAGACTGTCAGGCTGCCTCTTGGCCATTGTTTGTACTTTCTGTCACATGCTTATGTATTTTCATCCAATCCAGCCTCTTCCTTTTAACCTTACATCTCCAGCGTCCTGCCACCTAGTGCTTTCTCCACAGTCCTTGTCTAGAGAAGAGAAGCTGCCTCTACATACCAGTATCCACCTACCTGCATGTTGCAGAAAGAGATGAGCTGTCATACATGTTTATTAAGAAGAAATGTATTCTTTTAAATTAATTAATTTTAAAAAGTGTATTTATGTTTATGAAGAAGGAATCATTAGTCCCTGTATTTAAGAAGTGATATCCCTGAAGGTATTTTGAGCTGGAATACCAGCCATAAATTTTTGCTATGGAAAAATTAGATTTTGGTTTAGAAACGTGTGTTTTGGTTCGGTTCACTTTTTTAGCATAGAAGTGCTATGATATTTATATAAAATTTCCAGAGGAAAGTTAATTTCTGCCTGAATCTTCAGAATGCTCCCATCACTAGATAGAAGGCTGCATCTGTTCATTATGAGTATGCTGTTTGGACCAGTCTGAGGACAGGCAAATGCCCTAATTGTGCTTCAGTCATGCTGCTGTTTGTTACAAAATCCTCAGGACTCTGGAGAAGCTGCTGACGTGATTGTACTGTAACCCAGTTCTGGCTCAGTTTTCACTGGCTAGCAAAGTATTTAAAATCCTTGCATTAACCTGGCTTGCTTGGCTGGACTGATTTACCAGACTCCCCAAATGTTGGCATATCAGCTGATCTACAAAGGACCAGATTTGTTACCCTCTGTTGTTTAGATACATTTTTAACAGCTTTTTCAAGGACTGATGATGTCCAACAGTGAGCAACAGTGCATGTACAAACATTGAATTGGGTAGCTGTTAACATAGTTTTACGTCTGCAGTCTGAATTACAGATTTTATGGATTGTTATAGATTTTCATAACAACCCAAACAGTTTACACAGAAGTAGCAATATGACTTCAATTAAACAACATTTTTTATTAAAAGTAATGGAGGTGGCAGAATGATAAATCTTATTTGATTTCAGTAGGAGGAATAGCCTTTGATAATGTCTAACAGTTTTTCTTTCTACACAAAACCCACACAAAACACAAGTGCTCTGTGGTAGCTGACTAGTAAAATCTTAATAGTCAATAAAAGTATAGATTTTGGGGGGCATTTTTTTTTCTTCTAGAGAACAAAAAAAAAAAAAAAGGTTTCTCTGTCACTTCTCCAAGACTGTCAGCAGCAATAACATAATGCTTTAGCCAGGTCACTTTAATTACTGTTTTTCAGTTTGGGCCTAGAAACAGTGAACAAGGTGCACAGCATGTGCAGGCACAATCTGAGAGGATAAATACAGTATCACAGCCACAGGAAAAAAGTCTTCTATGGAGGAGTATTCTGTTATTATTTCATTTTAGAAGCCAGACTTTATATTTACGGCTTCCAAAACCTCCAAAACAGAAAAGTCTAAGTAAACACACTAGAATTTATGTTCTGCCATTTAGCTTTCACTGTAAACGTGGAGACTCTGGAGGAGTCTCCAAAGAGGGAGACCCTGGAGATCCGACAGAGCAGTGCACAATCAGGTGAAATGGCATTGAAGTTTGGATGGGGGAACTAGGCTACTAAAAATGATCTAACTGGATCACAGGATAATTCAGGAACTAGAGGAGCATGGTTTGTGTTTATCCACTGGCTAGTCTTTTATCTACGTTTTAGTTAGACAGACACAGTCAAGCCACAGTACTACTTTTAAAGGGTTTTTTTTATCTATTGTTATTCTTTTAAAATTACATTGCAGTGAGAAGAAAGCTTGTTTGGTGAAAGTACGAAAAGAGATTCAAACTAAAGAAATGTCAAAAATCACTATTAAAAACTCAATCTCTGAGTTTTCCTTCATTGTCCTCTGTACCAAGACGTTTCAGTCTGAGATTTTTGAGTATTACTTTTTCTTTTTAAATTTCTGCTTTCTCCCCATGACAGGTTTGGTTCTAGTGAGCACACATAGCTGATACTCTCAGTCTGGAAGGTATAAATGGGGAGAAATTGTTGGGCTTTAGAGAAGCACTTTGTTCCACGCTAAGCTTCACAGTTAAAGTAAAAAATGGCAAGTAAAAGGTGAATATTCAGCACCCAAGTGATTAATACATTATTTTCCTAAAGTTTTAAATGAACTCCAACTTTGAAGAAAACATAATCCACGAGATCAGAATATAGTTATTGTCAAACAAGGGAAGAACCATCACAGTATTTATTGAAATATCTAAATATACTGAGACAAATCATGGTTTGTTTTGTTGGGTTTTTATTTTGTTTTCTGTGATCTGCAAGAGATAAGACATTGCAATATTCACCATCGCATAGGATAAGATGATGTAACACCATCACACAACCTTGGATTACATTTTGTTCATCACTCATAAGATTTGGCATGATCCTCCCTGAACTGCCTAGGAGCAGGCTGAGACCATGCCATACAGTTCCCATTTTGTTGCCAAAAGCTTAATCAGCCATTTCTAAAGGAGCAGGACTTAAGAACATGACCATCAGTTCTGGTAAGGGTTGGAGCTGCTAAAGACTGCAGCGGTGGCTTGGTACAGCTTGCAGTGCAGCTCCCTTCACACCTTGGAGCAGCACAGAAACCTGTGGCAGGGTCTCACAAAAAACTTCCTGCAAAGGCACCTAAGAGTCACCAGAGCCAGCTCCATAAGGATAAATCCCCAATGAGCTAATATGATACTACTGCAACACCATAAACTAGCCTTCCTACCTCATTCCTGGAGTGTACTTTAAGTCTCTCTGAGGGTTGTAGCATGTTTTTGCTTCACTGACTTTATAGTAAAAACTCATTTTGAAGAAATGCAGTTTGGTTTCAGAGTCTAATAGAAATATTTAAAATACTTATGGAGTCCCTATTAAATTAGCATCAAATGACCTCACAGTCCTTAATGTACTTCTCTCTAACATGCCTGCGTACAGAGCATGACTGTCTTCCTCCGTAAAAACGAGGGACAGAGATACAACCAAGAAATGTGCAAAGACCAGATTTTTTTTTTTAAAGGGAGAAAGGTATAGGCAATCAGTATGCAGTGATGATAGCATCTGGTATCATGCTTCTAAGTGGTGTTTCCAAACCATATGAGTGGCCTGCTGTGGAACATAGCCTTGAACGCTTGTCCTCCAAAATGAGATCCTTCAGGTTTAAGAGCCTCTTTCTACACCTGAGGTACTGAAGTTCTAATCTATTTCACTGTTTTTCAGACTCATCAAACACAATATTTCATGAAATAACTTAGCAAGACTTCCCTGCAAAATATTTAAGGACACAAGTGATACTAGACAGCTGATGACATTCTGTTTCAAATGAGGAACTTAAAATGAGAACAGGTAAAGTCTGACACTGCTTATTACTTTACTGTGGTAACACGGCATAAGGTGATGATAGTAGCAGCTCTTTGGGTTTCAAAAACTTAAAACTATCTTCTGGCACTGCCCTTGTTTTTGTCTTTCCAATGTGTACAGTGTCTAGAGCAG